AGAGCCCTCATCCTCCTCCTGGGGTCCAGCTCGCAGCCAGGCATTCGACCCGCTCGGACGGGCCAGCCTGCGAGACAGGAGAAAGTGTCAGAGCGGGAGGGGGAGTCGAGGCGGTGGGAAAGGTAACACGGCGACCAAACATAACAACAACAAACACGCAACCTAACTTTTTTTTTCAGTATTCATCTACCTCATTTCATCGCCCCCTCGTCCTCCATTCGTGTCCTCATTCGCCTCCCTGTCTATCCTGATGATTGTCCTTGTCATCGTCCTTGTTTCAAGTTTGCCCATCGTATCCCTGACTCGTTTCGTCTTCCATCGGCCCCTTCCTCGTTATTCAAGCGACTGGTTCCATTCTGCCAACCACCATGGCAGCTCATGGGTTCGGCAAGGGTCGTGCCACGTTGCCTGGCCTGTGGTCAGGAGCCTCGGGGGTGCATGCGATGGGTATCGTGGGATGATTTTCGTGGGCCTCTTGGAGGGCTATCGCTGGCACCTGGATTGCTGTTGGAGGCTTCGCCATGGCACGACACGTAGCAGCACAACATACAAGAGCCATATTGGAGCCGTTAATCAACTCCTGCTCACATCCAGGCCCGAGCAACCACAGGAGGCCAACCCAACCTCACCTCTTCCATATCACCAGCTGTCCCATGACGGGGGCAGCTGATGATGTGGAATATGAGTCAGGGCGCTAGGTCGCATCGTTTCCTCTCCTACTCTAGTTTACGTCGTCCTCTATCGCGCAATCTACGTAGCCCCCCTGGCGCGCCCGCTAAATCGTGCTTTCACCTGCTCAGCCGTGCAACGCCGCGGTCCCCACCGCACTCTCATAATGGTTCAACCTGGCCCGCGCGTCATTGGGCTGTGCCCTGCCACGCTTCCTACCGCTCACAGTGTCATCGTACATTTTCCCAGTTGCCATGGCACCTTTCACTATGTTATCATACCCCGTGCGCCATTGCAACGCGCCGCCCAAAAATTATCCCAGGGGGGCCTAACGCGGCCCAAGGGGGCCCCAAGAACGGCCCAACTGAAGTACGAATTGCCATTTCAAGACCTTCCCGCCGCGATGGCCCCAACAGCCACCCAAGGACCCCCTGGGCGCCCCGCGGAAGGTCCCAGAGGCTTCCAAAAGGCACCCAACCCAGAGGTTCCCAAAAGGCACCCGAGAAACGATGGGTTTCTTCCTTCCGTGCTGCGCGGGCCGTTCCGATTGTTCGGTTCACGCGCGCGTGGCCCGTCGCATCCTGACGCTGCGCGGCGGGCCCCGTCGCGGACGATGTGATTGAGGCGTTCGCTCGAAGCCCGCATTCCATGAGAGGCCCCCCCCGCAGTTCCAGGCGCGCGGCTGCAGTTGCGTTTTGCGCCGCCTTTTCTCTGGGCGCGGGCTCCCGCATTTCGAGATCACGTGATCAATTTCTGCTGTTAGTTTCGTGTTTGTTTTTGTATGGCCACAATATTTATTTTTGAGTTATTGTTTAGTTTTCTCGGACTTAGCAGGGCATCCAACATCATAACTCTGGGGGCTCTTGGGCAGCGAGGGGTGCGGCTGGCTCCGATTTTCTGTGGTTCGGGGTCCCTGCGGTCCGGATCGGTTAGCCCGCTCCGGCTCGGTCCAGGGAGCCAGAGCGGTCCTGCAGACCATTGTCGCAATCGGCGTCTGCGTCGTCGTCGTCCTGGGGGCCCCGACCAGGCTGCCAGGGTCGCGTCCGGTCTGGTTCGGCCGGTTCTGTTCGTCGGGCTGGTTCGGTCTGGCCAGTCCGGTTCGTCGGGCCGATTTGGTCCGGTGCGGCCGGTTCGAGTCGAGGGCAGGTCCGGTTCGGCCAGTTCGATTCGAGGACCGATTCTCGGTCCTCGGTTTGGTTCGCGGCCATCATGTTGTGCTTGTTGGCGAAGATCCAATCAACGTCTAGAGCCATATCAATTCTTGACTCTTCGCGGATCCCAACCAGCATGGCAGGCACCGAATTCCGTGACACTTTGTCCTGTGCACGTGCTCGAGCTTTCAGGATGCCGTCCGCCGTCAGCTCCCCCTTTTAGCTTCGCGGCTGCTTTGTGAGTGGGCCGGCCGGCCTGTGCTTGTTGTAGCCAATTAGCCTCGTTCGCGCCCCGGACTTTGCTTTCGCCGCCTGACCCTTGTCTCGCGGCCGCGACCAAAAAAAATGATCCCAACCAGCCCATGCAGAAACGATGCCCACGAGATTTGACGGGGGGAGAGCGGAAGAGACACGCATAGTCAAACAGCGAGGGAGGCTTGGGAAGCTCCGTGGCCATTTCGAGCCGTTTTGGAGCGGTCTTGGGGCCGCTTGGAGCATCGTGGGAGACATCTTGAGCCAGCTTGGGCTATCTGCGCCATCTTGGAGGTCATCTTGGGCTCTCTGAGGCCGCTCGGGGTCCTCTCGGGTGCCTCTTGGAGCCCTCTTGGGGGCCTCTTGGGAGCCCTGGAGGGCCTCTTGGGGCCATCTTGGAGGCGGTCGGTCAAAAGAGGGGGAGGTACTAGATTTGCGTCCCCCCCTCAAGGGTCACGATCCTCGTGAGGGGTGGCAAGAAATCGCCCTCCCAGGGGCCGAAAAAGGAGCCTCCGACACATCGCGACCCGTCCCACAAAACCTCAGGGAGGGGAGGGGGAGGGCTCCCCTTCCCGAAGGGCAGAGGGGTTGTGGAAGAGGAACGAGACCTTCCTCAGACCACCTGTCGCCCAAAGGGCTGGTGGGATTCCAGAGCACTGCCTCCAAGGCGGCCTGGGAGGCGCCATGTCCACCGTGAAGGCGGCCTTGTCTGGTGACTCCGAAGCAACGCGCGCGGCACCAAATCCCAGCAGCCCAGGCAAACGAACACACTGACCGAGGGACCTTCTCAGGGCTTGGCATTGGAACATAGCCGACGTCTCCCTCAGACTTGGGGGAAATAAGGAGAGGCATGATGCGCATGGCAATCTTACCAACACTCGACGACATTCACCCGCCCATCAACTGTGGCCAACATCTCGGTTGTGCTCGGTTTGAGGAGGGTTGCTTCCTTCGCACCGAGGTCGGCTAGGTGGCTAATTGCGCGCCTGTACAATGCATCATCCGAAATGTCGGGCTCCTGGAGGGACAGATGGGCTTTGACGTTGACCGTACCAGGTGTCTCGAGTCCTCGTGGTGTCTCGCTTATAATTTATGCCCAGCGTACGTGTTGCGGCAAGGTCTCGGGTCGTTTTCTGAGCTACTCCAATGGTCTCGAGCAATCTTGCAGTCAGGAAACATCTAGACGGTCCGCCCAAGGACGTCACTGGTCCTGCGAACCCCGAAAATTCAGCGCACTGGGCAGTTTGGCAGAGCGGAGCGTGCACAGGGCATTGCATTTCACGCTGACGGATCCCGTTGACGAGAGTCTTGCAGTTCCAGGCTGCTCACAATTTGTTGATAACATGTCTGGAACAAGAGCCGTCACAAAAATGTCACACTCGATCCCCGGTAAAGAAGGTGCATCCATTTTGGCCCAAACGCCACGCTGTAGCCGAGGCGCTGCTGTCGCCCTCCAGCTGTCGGCCAGGTGTCGGCATTTATCGTCGGCGCCGCCATTTGCCAAGCGCACCCCCGCCATTCGCCCGAGCAGGGGAAACATGTTTTAAGTCACGCGCCTGGCTTGTTTGTATCACTCACAAGCTGACACGACGAGGAATTGCGGTGCCTGATGAGATCGCGGACGCACCGGTCGTCGTCATTCGAGCGCGGACGCGGCCTAATTACAACGATCGTGGCATCGGGAGCGTTAGCCCGGGGTAGTTTATGTGGATCGTTGCCCTCGGAGCGCGGACGGCACATAAGTCACTAGCGACTGTGGCTTTGGGAGCGCGGACGCAAAGTAATTTACAAGGAGCTGTGGCCCTGGGAGCACGGACGCAGAGTAGTTCACGGGAGATCGTGGACTTCGGAACGCGCAAGCAGCGTAATGTACTAGGGATCGTTGCGTTGGGAGTTCGGATGCAGCGTGAGTTGCAAAGAGATCGTGGCGTTGGGCATTTGGAGCGCGGATGCAGTTAGTTTTTGCGACGGGGTCGTGCCCCCGGGAACACTGATCCAATGGATAAGAGTTATTGAGCAGAGTGGGTCGTGCTTTGGCTCGTCTGCCCTTGGCATGCTCCGTGGCACGTCCCCTGGCGCGTACCCTGGCATGACCTCTGGCTTGCGCTTCCGATGGCACATCTGCGACGCGTCCCGTGACACGTTCCGATGGCGCATCTGCGGCGCGTCCCGTGACACGTTCTGTGGCGCATCTTGTGGCACGCGCTTCCATTGTCAGGAACCCTGGCGCGTCCACTGGCACGTCCCTTGGCACGTCCAGTGGGGCGTCCCGTGGCATGTTGCCTGGCTCGTCCTCTGTCGCTTCCCCTGCCGGTTCCGTGGCGCGTCCCCTGGCGCGTCGCTTGCCACGTCTTTGGGCGCGTCCCTTGGGACGTCTCCGGGCACCGCGTCCCCTGGCCTGGCACGCCCCTCGGCACGTCCCGTGGCAGGTCCCTGCATTCTTGGCGCGTTCCCTGATACGTTCCTTGGCACGTCCCTTGGAGCATCTTCTGGTGCGCCCATGGCACACCCCGTGGCGCGTTCACGCGCCCTGTGCCCCCTCTCAGTTCGTCCCGCTTCGGAAACGAAACGGATCTTGACCCCGATCTGGTTCAGCGCCCTGCACGTTTTGACTACCAGCGGTGAGCGAGCCATGCGTTCATGCGGCTGGTGCTGAAGACCCAGATTAGTTCGGACAAGATACGGACGCCAAGCACGATTGGATCCATAACGCAAAAGAGCGCAGCGCAGCTCAACACTGCATGCATCAGCACAGCTCAGCACAGCACGGCGCAGCATGGCACATCGCATCGCAGCCGAGCACGGATCTTGGCACGGCATCATCATGGATATCCTCAGTACTGCCAGTGCCCATGGCCCAAGGCAGGCAGCTCTATACATATCCGGTTCTGGGCTCGTGGATCGATCGTGCCTGCTCCTCCGTGGCAGGTCATCAACGACTTCGTGGCCCAGGGCTACGGAACTCTCACCCTCCGGGCGGACGAGAAGATCCACATCTACGGAGGGGCTCGGCGGTCGCAGCAGAGTGCTGCGCCCTGCCCTCTCCCGAAGGGAGGGTGGCAGGGCGGAGGAGCCGGAGGAGAGGGCAGAGGAGGGGCGGGAGGAGGGCGGAGAGGAGAGGGGGAAGCAGGAGGAGGAGGAGCAGCAGGAGGAGGAGTAGGACGACGACGACGACGACGACGGCGACGGCGACGAGGACGAGGACGAGGAGCGGGAGGGGGAGTGACAGCGGGAGAAGGAGGAGGTGGACGGGGTAAGAAAAAGAGGAGGTGAACGGGGCGGGAGCAGCGAACAGGGCGGGGGGCGGGGCAGGGATAGCATGAGGGAGGGGGAGGCCGGATGACGCAATGCTTTTTTTTTTTTCCTCTCTCTCTCTCTACATACTACATATATGTATCCCTCTCTCTATCCGCCTCTCTCTCTCTTTATGTATTTTTCTCTCTCTCTCTCTCTTTTTCTCTCTCTCTCTCTCTCGCCCCTGTCTCTCTCTCTCTCTCGCTCTCTCTCTCTCTCTCTCATTCTGACTCTCTCTTTCTCGCTGAGGGGAGGGGGAGGGGGGCATGATGAGGAGGAGGGGGAGAAGAAGGGGGAACGAAAGGGAGAAGGGTGCAGGGAAGCGGGAAGGGGACATAGCAAGAGCAGGATGAGGACCAGGAGGAGGAGGAGGAGGAGGAGGAGGAGGAGGAGGAGAGGAGGAGGGGGGAGGAGGAGGAGGAGGGGAGGAGGAGGGGGAGGAGGAGGAGGAGGAGAGGGAGGAGGAGGAGGAGGACAAGGAGGGGGGATGAAGGAGGAGAGGAGGAGGAGGAGGAGGAGGAGGAGGAGGAGGGCATTGTCCTTGCCCCCCCCCCCTCCCCTCGGGGCGGCGGCAGGCCCCAAGACCGCCCTCAGCGGCGCGCCGATCGCCTGCATCGGCGCCGGCACAGGCCTGGGGCAGTGCTTCCTGACCGCGGACGCGGAGGGAGAGTACACCGCCCCGGCCTCAGCCCGGCGAGCGCGTTCCACTACTCGCAAAGTGCCTACACATTTTGAATTTCCAATTTTTCGAGAGTTCTTGATTTTTGTTTGGGGGGCCAAGATCCTTTCATGTCTAATTGTTCTGCGCTCCGCGCGCCAGGGGGTCCAGCGCCGATCCGAGAAAGCCGCGCGAACCTCTGAGTTGTTAGGTTCATTGCTTGCTCCCCTGCAGGGGGGAGAGTACAGCGCCCCGCCCTCAGCGGCCCATCGAAAACAAAAAGATAGCGATGCCTGGTCGTCGCCGCATGGCGAAGTCCCCGTCGTGGTTCACATTCCGGGCCGTCGCCGGCTGGACAGCTGGCGAACCAGACTGATGACTATTCTCCACGACGAACCCGACGCGGCCCCGATGTGGGGAAAGTTGCCTCGCTCCGTCCCTCTCCTGCCTTTGGCATGGTGGCAGAACTCGCTCTAACGGCATCCCCGCTTAGGCATCCAATCGCCAGCGCAGACGTCCCCTGCATAGCCGCCGACGCAAACAAAAATTGCGCGGACGCTCCGGCGGCGTTGCCTGGCTTGGCGGGGCGTTGCTTGGCAGTGCTCGACGACCCTTGGGAGGCCCGCCTCACGCAACGGGACCACGGAAAACCCGGAGCAACGCGGGCCCGCACAGGCCTGGCACGCACGGATTCTTCCACCACTGTTAAGGACGGCGTAATGATCGCGGGGGGGGGCGAGTAACCTTCGACGGAGCGCCCCCGTGACCCCCCCCCCGCTCCGCCCCTCAGCGCGCGTCCGAAATTCTCCCCCCCCCCCCCCCCCTCCACTTGGCCCCCCAGGGATTCGAGCCTCAAAACTGCCATCCCCCCCGAAGCCCTCCCCGACGGCACGCGCCCCCCCCCTCAAACCCAAGGGGGGGCGATTAGTATCCCATCCAGAGTAGGCCCCCACGGCGGGGCTTCCAGCGCCTCCCCTGGCGCGCTGCGCGCGGGCCCAGCGCAGGTCCTCAGCTGGAAGGAGTGGCACCCATACCGCTACCGTTGCCTCGTTCTCGCTTTTCGGGGGGGTCCTGCCAGGCCTTCGTCGCCACCGCTGGGTTCACTTCACACATTTGGTCAGAACGCACCCCGGGAGAGGTCGAACGGTCATGCCGATTCATTTTCTCATTGCTCCCCAGAGTTCGAGGCACGCTTTGCACGCACGAAGCCAATTATTCAGGACGGCGCCTGGGCAATCGCCAGGTGCAAGGAGTGCATTAATGACAAGGACCGGGGGGAAGGGGGAAGGGCTGACAGGCATGTACACATGGGATGATGTGCGGATGCGGGTCCGTTGCCATGTTGGCTCAAGCCATTTTGGCCCAAGCCGTCGGCTCGAGTTTCGGGCCCAGCGGCCGGCACGAGCAGCTTGGCGCGCGCGGGCCGCGCGAGATGGTGCGGCGCTGACCGGGCTTGATTGCAGCAGGGCAGCCGTGCCGTCGCGTGGCAAGTGGGCGGGAAGACGTGGCTGTGCATCTGCATCCCCGCGGGCTGGGGGTGGAGCCCCCACGCAACCCCAGTCGCGCCCGGAACCGGGAACGCGTGGGGATGCGCCCTTGGCATCCGTGGGCCGCGCCCGCACAGGGGGGCCCAGCGACGCTGCATGCGGCTGCACCTAATGAGGCGTGGAACCCCTCGGCAGCGCTGGCGCTGACTCCGAAGGGTGCGAAGCCGTCGGCGGCCCCTGGCTGAAGGGCTGCCCCGCCCCCTGCGCAGGCCCGACCAGGCTCGAGGTCATCTCTCGGGGGGGGGGGGAGGTGCCGGCGATGGTGCCGAAGGCGGCTGCGCTGCGCCCGGCCCCGCAGCCCCCCCCCAGCAGGCGGGGGGGGGCGCCGCTGCGCGGGCGGGCGGAAGCGGCGTCCCCCTTGGGGAAGGCCGCGCCGAGGCGCCCGAGCGAGCGCGCAGCCCGCGGGCTGGCACTTAGGGGCCGGCTGCGGCGGCCAGTGGGCGTCGCTCGCGTTGGCGCAGCGCGCGCTCGAGCATCCCCGGCGCCCAGGCGCCGCGGCGCCGGCCCGGGCGGGGGGCCCGCCGCCGCCGCGCCCGCCGATGCAGCCCCGCGCGCGGACGCCCCCAGGTTCCCTGGGGGAGTGCGGGCGCACCGAGCTCTGCGTGGTAGATCTAAAATGTTTAGACGTGGTTGAGATGCGATCGGGCCTTGGCGCGGGCGAGAGGCCGTTCGGATCCATTGTTCTGCCGCGAGCGCGCAATGGATATGCATTTCGGATGCGTCCCCCCGGTGTGCACGAGAGCGCCTCCGTATTCAAACACTTCTATGCTTCAAGCATATCTGAACATTTTGGCCCGTGTCTTTTTCCACCTCGCCCCAGCAGCCGCAGCAGTCACCAGGGCGCCCGAGGAGGAGGAGGTTGGCCAGCAACTACGACGAGTACCACCAGCACACGGCGATCCTGAAGAGCGACGGGTTTGTGCAGACGCTGTGATGCAATGTTCAGGTTTGCTTTGATTGCTCCTCCCTTCCCTCCTTCTCCGCCTCTCCGTGTAATTTTGTGCATGGGCAGCGTGTGTGGGCTTAGCTCACGGCCGCGTTTGGCCGACCCCACGGGCCACTTCGCGTCGCCCTCGGCTCGTCTTCTCGTCGCCGGATGTCGGCCCTCCGATGCTGCGGGGCACGGCTGTGCCTCATCACCGTAGTTATTTCATGTACAAACTTTGGCGAGTGCTTGCGCCCAAACCTGTATCTCCCGCTTTTGCGGCTTGCCTGTCTTGCCCTTTTCCTCCTCCGTCCTCCTCCCTCTTCTTGGTGTCTTCTCGCCCCCTTCTTTTCTGCCCGGTTTCACCAGATGTGGCGGATCCAATCGAGACGCTTCTTCTTTATCTTGAGCTGGGTTCCAAACAGAGCTCGAAGCTGTCTGGGCGACAACATTGGTTCATTTCAAGCATACGACTTTTTCGACCGGCGTAGATGCTGCAGGGTAATCCACAGCAGCCGCCGCGGTGTGGCGTTGCGTGTTGACTCCATTTGTGCTGTCTCCCCCTTCCTCCCTCCTCCGCTGCGTTCCCCGCATGCACTTTGCTCCTGCGTGTTCCTCTTACCTGCGAGTGGTGCTGACGTAGCGCAGGCGTTCCGAGGCAGCGATTTCCCCCGCGCGTTGGAAGCATATGATCCAGGTGCTCGCTCCGTGATCCGAGGGCTGCGGAAGGTCATGTAGAGCAGACGCGGGCGAGGGGGAGAAACAACAATTGGCCCGTGTCTTCTTAAAAAGAAGTTTTATTCGTATTCATTTTTCCGAGCAAGCATCTGTCGCGCCGTATCTAGTCGCATCTAGATTGGCCAGAGCGGGCGCCTGTGGCGCTGCCCTCGGAGCGATGATTAGCGCGGCCATGATTAGCCAAAGGGGGGTTCAAGAAAAGCTGTAGCGATGATGCGTGAGGAAACGAACGGTAAGGGCTAAAGAGGACGACGAGGAGGAATGAGAGAGACAACAATGAGGCAACGATTAATGAAATGAGGGTTTGGGAAGGAACTGGGAGGGAATGGAGAATCGGGGGAGGAGGTGGAGGAGAAGGACGAGGAGGGAGGAAGACGAGGAGCGAGGAGGAGGAGGAGGCGGAGGTGGAGGAAGATGAGTCAGATCGGTAGATGCAGAGCGAAGAGGGTGGTGCGGGGTGCGGATGAAGTGGGTGATCAAGTGCGAGGAGGAGCGAAGACGTTTTAGGATGAATGGCGGGGGAATTGATGACGACGATACGATGAAGCAGGGGGAGCGGGAGCCAGATGGTGGAGAAAAGGACAAAGAGGGGGAGGAACAACGATACGGAGGATGATGGCAATGAGGAAGGAGCTGGAGGATATGGCATTACGCGGATGCGCGAGGAGGTAGCGTGAGGGAGGATGGGGGCTCCTCTTCTTCGTCCTTTTGGGCCTCGTGATCGTTCTGCTTGCACACCTTGTTCCCCCTATCCCACCTTCTCGTCTTTCCTCCTTGTCGCCGTCGCCCCGAACAGCATGTGCAACGTCTTCCGCGCTCGTTGTCGTTGAGCAGCCTCGGCGCGGCTGTGTATACACGGTGCCGTATATACTTGTATAGGGCTTTCCAGTTTCGATTGTCCATCTTGAAGGGCCATATCGAGCCGTGTCTAAACATCTCTGACCATATCTACCCGTATCTAAACATGGCACCGTGTCGAAAACAAATAAGACAACATAACGTTCCTGTGTGTTAAATTTGTGTTTAAAATTTAAGAAAATGCACACGTATCTCCGCACATATATATATATATATATATATATATATATATATATATATATATATTCCCAAACGGTATATAGTCGTATCGAATTCCATTGTACAGCCGTTGTAAGACGCATTCGATCCAGGGGCAAAGTTTAGATACCGCTGGGCCTTTCGGAATGCCGCTGCCGCCGAGGGAATGAACAACGAATTTCTATTTTGGGATATGTCTTGCAGGGGGGCCTGCCGAGCGCAGCCCCGCGACGGGCGGCGCGGAGTTAGGCACGAACGCGCCCCCCAAGGCCGGCGACCCCGCAGCAGCGGGAGCAGCGGCAGCAGCGGCTCGAACACGGCGGCACGGGCGCACGAACGGCCCCGCGGGCGGAAGTTCCCGCGGTAGGGGCGTCTCTCGCGGGCAGTCCGCGCCGGGGGCGGCGGCGCGGCGGTGGCGGCGGCGGTTGCCCCGCACCGCAGCAGCAGCGGCGACCGCACCGACGAGAGCGCCAGTGGTTCCGACCTAGGGTGATTCCGACAGCTCCCCGGCCGCGGCGGCGAGGACTCCAACGGCATTTCCGCCAGCGGCGGCAGCGCCTGGAGCAAGGGTTCCGACCGCAGCACCGTTGGTGGCAGCAGCGCTGGGAGCAGGAGCTCCGACGGCAACGCCGCAGTACTTTACGGAGGCGGCAGCGTCGGGGGCAGGGCCTGGCGGCGGCGTGGCCGCCGCGGCGGACGGCGGCGCACTCAGCGCGCCGCGGGCGAGGCGCCCGCGGGGTCCGCAGGCGGCG